TCGCTTAACGTTAGTTCTCACCCTGTTCTCGTCGATATTCAACACCGATTGGCCCACTTTTCGCTACCTTCTATTTCCATCCAGTTTTTCTGGATCCCTGGCCACGTCGGTATTCATGGGAACGAGCTCGCTGATACCGCAGCTAAGTCCGTCTGCTCTGGTGCTATCACGCCGTGCCTGTCCCATACATGGACTACGGTCCTATCTTCAAGGCGCGGCTTCGTGCCAGTTGGCAGTCGACTTGGAGTGAGCAACGACATAATAAGCTTTTCCAGATCAAACCTTCTGTTGGTCTTTGGCCGTCTTGCTTCCGTAAGGATCGAAAGGAGGAAGTAGTCCTGGCAAGGCTACGCATTGGTCATAGTTTTTTTAACCCATCGTTTTCTTTTATCGGGTATTGACCCACCGATGTGTAGTCATTGTGACATTTAAGTCACAATAGTCCACAATTTACTGTCATGCCGTCGTTACGACCGTGAGCGGCGGCATCATTTTAGACACATTTTATCTAAAAGTTTACCCCTGACGCTGGACAGTGTCATTGGTAATGGTGACACTGTCCGATTAGATTGTATTTTTAATTTTTTACGCACTATAGGTATTTTTAATTCTGTATAAATCTTTTATCGACATGTATTGGTTTTAACTCGCTGTATTTTTACATTTCACATTAATTTACTTTCTTTGTTTTTACCGGTTGTTTGGCGCAGATAGCCTTGCTGCTTTGCGCCATAAAACACCAACTAACCAACCAACTTAACTGAATTAATCATAAGATATAATGTAGAAGAGAAACAATCATCTTTTTAGCAACACCATATGGAGGATTAGATTAAAAGCAGGATATAATTAGAGGGGCACTCAGTATACACCCGCCACGCAGCGGTGATCATGTTCTACTTTTAACAAAATACGAAAATATGTCCGTATTTCTGTCGTTACCAATAGACACAGACCATTTTTGGCAGAACAACGAGGAATAATATTCTACATATGTCCACCAAGTTTTATCAACAATTCGATCATTTTTGACTGAGTTATAGAGCAAAAATAGTGTGAAAAATCGGTCCCCATGTTAACAGATAGGTTTTTTTTATCTTCATGACCTTTCCGTGTCCTTGACATTCCAAAAATTAATCAATTCTAAGTTGGCTCATAGTTCAAATGTATACCAACGTTCGTCCAAATCCATTCAGCCGTTTATGAGACGAAAATAAAAAAACACACTTCTGTAGCGGAGGTAAAAAAGAAGTTGTTCCAAGAGTCAGATGAGTGGGTTATAGCGTGGAACAAGAAATATCCTAGTATCTTTATAAACATGTAATTTTAAACATAACAATATTTCTTGTAAATTAGCTGCAAATGTTTGAATGTTTTTACTGAAGGTCTCAGTATTTTATTTAAAATAAAAGTAAAAGAGTATGGGTTATCAGAATAATGCTTTTTGACTATAAATTACGTAGCAGTTGACACACATCAGTAAACACCGGAAAGTCAAACCACCAATAGTTAAGTAGAATTAACTGGGTTTTAATAACCACAAAAAAAGAAAAAAAAAAAGATATCGGGCAAAATATAATGAACTCCCTGTGGTAAGAAACCGGACTGTAATATGAAATTACTAGTTATGTCATTCCGTAGGTAGAAAAACTTTGAATCACTTTCGGGCAAAAGAGGGAAAACGAAGTTAACTAGCACATGGTAAGAATGACAATGAAGATTTTGTTTTTCGATTTGTCTTGTGTTAAGAGCTAATTTCTCAAGAGATTTTAGGCTTCATTTTTGTTGTTAACATCAATATATCATTCTCTCTTGGTTTATATCGTGTAAAACACGTTTATCACCTGTACAAGTAATAATAATGTAATGTTTATTCATCACACCAATAAAAACAATTTTTTGTAATTAAATATTTTAAAACATTGGTGTGTTATAAATATGTCAGTCACATCTTATTATTTAGAGTAACAGACGATTTAGTGGTGGATGGTGTTGACAAGCTGCCTTTCCTTCTAGTCTATTGTTACGTCTCCGTGTGTTAATTAATTTTCCGTAACTTCGTTCCGACGAAACTTAAGC